CAGTAAGGCAGCAGAGGGTGGGGGGGGAGGGGCGTGGTGTGCTAATTTCAGGTGAAAACGGGCGGATGGGTGAGTGATGTACACCAATCATCTAGCTTCCTTTGGGCCGTCGGACGGTGAGGTGGAGAGAGAGCATGCTTCACAACTCTTGTCGTGCCGGCTACACTTTCATCTCATCATCTCATCATCTCATCCTTTGGCGCCTGCCCCTATCACAGGCACAAAGCACGGGTGAGTAGGCCACGGGAGGGCCAATGATACAATGATAAATGTGGAACAGAAGCAACGCATGACGTAAACCAACACATCTTACTACACTCGTAGATCGTGGTTGCAATGAGTTCCCTTCTACCGCCACAGTAGTGCTGTGGGCTCAACAAGCCAGCCACTCTGGGGCACCGGAAAAAAAACTCCGCTCGCTCGCATGCTCGCTCGCCCACTTACGAATCCACCGCCCCTATCCCTTGCCGCCGCCGCCCACAAAGACTCTGCCTCCGGCCCGAAAGAGGCCGAGCCTCGCGCGCCGGGGGAAAAAATGTGGGTCGTCGGGAGCACTCTCCGGATCGAGATTGCCGTCGTCTGCGCGTACAGAATACAATCGGTTTGGTGGAGGAGGGGTTGCTCGAAGTACGCTTATGCCTTATGCCGGGGGGGGCTCGGGGTTGGGGGGGGGTACGCATGTTGCGTGCCTGAGTGGTTACCCCGTTGACCACGCGTCCTCGAGAGGACGGAGCATCTCCCACAGGACCGATCACCGATGGCCAATCGTTTCTTCTTACTTTGCCGAATTCATTAAAAAATTATTACGATATCACCTATCGAGGTTAGGGGGGGGGGAGGGGGGGGTCGTCATGTGCTGGAGAGACAGCCCCATGGGTTGGGGAAGAGGGGGTAGCGTGATGGGTAGGTCGTCGGTGGCGGAAAAGCGGGCGAGCCGAATATTTCCGGGCGTTTTGTAGCATCGACCGTGCCAATTGGACGACCATCGAAAAAGATATGAGCTTTGCACACACGTAGATAGCGGGAAAAGGAGCCAAGGGACACTCATTCTAGTCATGGCGCTCCCCCACAGGAGCTTGTGTTTGTGTTTTTACCATTAGCACCGACAGGGGTAACCGGCTGACAAATGAAAATGCGTCAGTCTCAGTGCGGTTGAAAACAGAAGATACTCCTTTGTGTATGTGTGCGCGTGGTGTCATCGGCTACCTTCGATTCATAAGTACCGCTGTAGACTCTTGTCCCCGCTTTCCGACGCGCACGGAATACCAATAAACCAATCGCACGAGGAGCAAAACAACTCCCAAGCTAAACAATTCACTCTCCTGCCATTGAGCCAGGCAGAGAAACAAAAAAACACCCGGCCATGCGTACGTACCTCTGTTGACCGCACCGACAGTGCCTCTAGCAAGCCCTCCTGAATCTCCACCTCTTCTCCGAGCACCAGGGGGTAGGTCATGCACCGCCCCATCTGACGATGGTGCCGTTTCCTGTGACCGGTCAGAATTATTCCAGCCATCGCAGTAAGCGGTTTCAAGTTTTGAGGTTCGGACAAACGACAATGACACCGGCGACAACAACATATCGTCCAGTAGGCGGTTACGAGTTCGAGGTTCGAATACCCGACAACGACAACGACGACGACATCATGTCGTAAGCGGTTTCGAGGTTGAGGTTCGGGCAAACGACAACAACGACAACAACAACAACAACAACAACAACAACAACAACAACGACAACAACAGGGAGGTGATAGCTGCAGGAAGTATGCAGCTTGATTTGTTTACCGCTTCACGCCTCACAAAGCCCTGGTCCCCGAAAAAAAATACTACATATCTTGCACACGATATTATTCCAATGGTCTACCCTGGCGACTAAGCAGAAACTCGTTTGTTTGTTCGGCGCAAAGGCGACCAGCAAAGTGAGTGGCACACGGGGTGAACAAACAAGACCGTCTGCTACTAACCCCCGTGAATGTGGATCAACTTCACGCACACCGTCAAGGGCGATCCGAGGGTGCAAACACGGTGTGTGTAGGGGGGGGGGGGTTGCTCAATACCTTTACACTTTTGCCCATCCCCGGCGGGTGAAATGACATCCATCCCCGATGGAGCTACCCTGCCACTNCTCTTTCTCGTTTGGTGCGGTAGCTGGTCTTTCTTTCTATCATTTTGTTTCTCTTCCGAGTGGTTTTTGTACCCTATTTTTTTCTGTTTCTTCGTGGGGTCGTGTATGCCGGGTTGTGAGACCACCGGCTCCCAATCTTTCTTTTTTAGAGCTAATGTGAGAAACGACAACAACAACAACAACTCTGTGGCGGATGCCTACGCAAAGAAAATTGCTTCTTCTGTTTCGAAAAAAGAGCAGGAAAGGGGCACGCACACCCTAACCCTAACCCCCAACTTAGCCGATTCTGTAGTTATCCAATATGTTTGCTTGCTTAGAAAAACACTGCGTAGATTACTGTCCGTGGGGCGCCTTGACGAGCCACTCACCCAAGTCGCGAGACGAAGCTCCTCACTTCCTTCTGCCGAAGGCCCAGCTGCTGCCTGTTGTGTCCCTGCTGGTTCAAATTGCGAGCCTGCTGCTGCAGCTGCTGCCGTTGCTGCCGGGGGCTTCTTGCGCGGTTCTGGGGGAAGACCCTGCCCGCGTAGCCGTCGCCATGAGGATCCCAAGCTGGCATTTTTTTGTTTCATTTGTTCGGGTGTGGTATCATTTTCCGATCGTGTTCGTTAACGGCCCCCAAGCGAGAAAAATCAGACGGACAGACGGAACGGATCACGCAAGAGAAGATTGCTTACCGTGGGGGAGGGGCAGGGGGGCGTTGAAAACCAAAATAAATGGAAATTGACGCACGCTCTGCCCTGTCCGAGTTGCCTCCGACGCGCGCTCAGGGTTCCCGGCGCGAGCAAGGCTGCACCTGTCTGTCTGCCTCTCCCGTCTTCTTTGTCTGTCTATCAACCTGTGTCTCTCTGTCTCTGCCTGCTGCCTACCTCTGTCTCTTCCCCTCTCTGTCTCTGCCTCTCTCTCTGTCTTTCTCTAACGCGGGCTGTCTGTCTTTCTCAAACGCGGGCTGTCAACAAACCAATCCAAACACACGCCGTTGCCGAGCCAAAGCACGCACTCAAGCTTCTTTCGCAAGAACGAAGAACGAAACAACCCTCCCAGTCTTTCATCTTCCCCCCGCCCACACCGCACGGGCGATTCCCGAACCACCCGACCTCGACGCGACCAAGGCTGCCACATATCCCGTCGAATTTGATGACTCATTTATTACGACAACATTCATGAGTAAGCATGCCGCATTTTTTAGGCATTGATGACTAAAATAATTGAATACGCCAGCATTCGTGAGTAAGCTAGGCACGGGGCTACTGCTGTACACATGGCGTGCAGCCTCGAAACCATCATCCTGTTGGCATATCTTGCGGAGTGGCGTTTGCGAAAAAACTGTCACATTCTTTCTTGTGTGTGTGGGCCCCTACTCTCTTCTTGGGTGTATCCGTGGCAAGGCAGTTGTGATCATTCGCCGCCAACAACATCACGGAGAGAGAGAGAGAAGAAAAGAAAAAAGAAAGAGAAAGAGAGTCCTCGCTGGCCAACAGCAGGCGCTGTACGCTCGCTGCTGCTAACAACGCCTGGATGTGTATCGTCCCAACCCCGATGCACGTTTTCGCACACACGGCGGAAACAGCGACTGCCACGCAAGCACACCACTGCCCCAACCATGCCGTGAGAGCGAGCTTCTACACACACCGCGCGAACTAAACCTCGGTACTTAAAGGTTTGCCAACAACAAAGAGAAAAACGAGACTTGGGCAGAGTCCCGCAGCCCATATTGAACCTGGACCACTCACTCCCACAGAATCGCAATATTGTAAGTAGAGCTTCTGGGAGGTTTCGTATGTGTTGCTCGGGAAATCGTAGAAAGACAGGTAGTTTGTCCACTAACGCTATGGATCCATTGCTATTTTTTTGGTTCATGTGTTCGTGCGTCGTTGGCAACTCTATTTTTTTGGTTCGTTATCCATTTGCTATCATGAATATATATAAAAAGAGTTGCGTGTCTGTGTACGGAGAAAGGCAGGTAATTTGTCCACTAACGCTAAGGATCCATTGCTAATTTTTTGGTTTGTTGTGGTTTATTGCGTCGTTAGCAACTCTAATTTTTTGGTTCGTTATCCATTTGCTATGCATATTATAAATATGTATAAAAAAAAGAGTTGCGTGTCCGTGTACGGCGGGCTCACCTGCAAAATGCGCATCCGCTGCGGCAGCCGACCCCAAACCAGACGACAGAGTAGTCGTGGAGTGATCGAAGTAGCTGCCGGGCCTACGGCTAGGACTACTACCCGTCGTGCTTCCCGTCGACAGCTGCTTGCTGATGGGAAACATGACGCCGCCGGGGCCGCAGAAGAACCCACCGTCGCCTGTAGCACTTTTTTCACGACCGTGGGGGGGGGGGGGGGGGGG